TGCTGGGCCGTATGGTAGTTCTATTTTCAGTTTTTTAAGGAACCTCCATACTGTTCTCCATAGTGGCTGTATCAATTTACATTCCCACCAACAATGCAAGAGTGTTCCCTTTTCTCCACACCCTCTCCAGCATTTATTGTTTGTAGATATTTTGATGATGGCCATTCCAGACAAGGTAATCTTAAAGGGACTTTTTCATGGCTTCAGCCTGGAGGTGACACAATCACTTCTGCTCACATTTCATTGGCTTGAACGAATTATATGACCCCATCCAGAAGGGAAGAAATATTCCTGCCAAGCATTTAAGGTAAGGTCACACAGAATATTCTGTATGGCTGACTGACAATTCCTTGGTAGAGGCTCCGATGATATGATTTTCTGAAGCATTTCTAAACGTTTCATTGCATGAGCTACTTTATAATCCACTTGTGCTGGATTAGCTGTCAAAAAGGGAATTTCCTTGGGAGAAGGACTTTCTGAATTTACATTCCCATGTGCTTATTCCAACAGGAATGCTGGCTTAGGATAGCATTGCCTTTCCATGCTTGAGCTTCTTGATTTATTACATTAGGTATTCTTTCTTTGCTGCCTTTCAAGCAGTCCGAATTGTGAGGCAGTCATAGATCTCCACTCTATTCTGAAGCATCAGCAGGGCAGAAAGGAACCTGCCACAACCTTGACAGCTATGCTCCTCTCATGCTCTCCCTCACATAGGCTGTCCTCCGTTACTCTTCTTCCAGACAGAGGAAACACAGTAGGACTTGTCATTTGTGCTAATCTGAGCACACATCTCCACTGTGAATTGTGCTACCCTGGGGCTTCTGTTCAGAGATCAATGCTGGGCTGACATGGGAGGTCTGTGATCCTAGTAAAATTTCTTATAAACGTGCATGTGGTCTTATGTCCTTCAAAACAATGGCACATCTTCATTCATTTGACTCCTGGTCTCTGTGGCACTCCTTGATGCATAGTTAAATTCACTTGGTAGCCCATCTACCCATCTAGCCCCAACCCCAGCTCTGCTTTACTCCTAAGGCTAATCAGGAACTGGGTCTGGGTCTTCGGTGGTGAACAGCCCTGCAGATCCCCACTTAGTCAGCCTTGGAGCTCACATCCCAGCTAAATGGCGCCTACGTCCTACCTGACTTCATCTTCCAGGGGGCCTATCACCTTTGGGAATTCCGAGGCAGTCCTGCAGGTGCTCTAATGAGAAGAGGTCCTTCTATGGGAGGAGTTTTACGATCATTTCTGAAGGGCACCATTGGACTGTCTTATTCTGGATCCATGTTTCTATTTGGCTTTTGCATGGGAATTTCCACAACCGCAGCCAAGGACTGACACATTGCCTGATTCCAGTAGCGTGGTCACTAGTCTCTAAAAATCCACTCCCAGCCCGCCTCCCACGGCAAGGACCATGTTTCCTGTTATTCACACCCTTGTGTGGTCTCGTCTTGAATCCTGGCTGGTGTGTGGCTCGTGCCTGGTCAATGAAATCTGGCAGAAGTGACACGTCATGACTTCTAAGCCTGGTCCATAGGTATCCTTTCAGCTTCTACCCCGTGTTCTTGGAACCCAGCTACCACCCTCCAAGGAAGCTCTGGAGACACCCATGTGAAGAGGAGCTGAGGAAGCTGTCTTACAGTCCTTGCTAAGCTCCCGTGGTCAGTGAGCGTCACCATGCCAGCCACGCCATTCAAGCTATTCCTAGACAAGTCCCAGACATCATGGAGTCCACTCATGGACCTTGCTGTGTCCTGCTTGATTTCCTAACCCTCAGAAACATGAGGGGCAGTAAACTGATATTTTAAGCCACTATCTTTTGGGATTATTTGTCACATAGCAATCAATGACCAGAACAGGGGACCCTTGTTTATGTGAAAGATGTCCTCCAGAGGTGTCCAGTGGACTTGGTGCCTGGTGTGTGGTGCACAGTGGGTTTGAGATCCTATTTCCTGAGGTTCTCATATCTGGAGGGTCCTGAAACAAGGCCTAGGACAAATGGTTGGCTTCCCAGCCAGTGAGGAGATTTTCCATTTCTCAGTTACAGACGATGCAGTTTCCCCAATTCCAGGCTTCATTCAGGCAGTCCAGTTCCGTGCTCGAGTCCTGAAGCCTTGACCGTCTCAGAGATGTGACAGCACGGCACCTAAAATATCACATCTTGATTCCCACTATATTCTGCAGAGGTTCAGCTCCCATAGCCTTCCAGCCTAAGGATTTGCTCTTTATTTCTGGCACGTGAAGATTTCACCTTCTGCCTTTATGATAAGTTATTAATTTTTAAAAATATATGTTTTTTTCTTCTAGAAGTTTTAATTTGGGGTGGGGGTGAAGGTGGGCTGCAAAGGAGGAGTTCCAGAGGCTGCTCCATCTGATATTTTAACCTCATTACCTTATCTTCTTTCTAGAATATTTTTGGTTATTTGCCCCCTAGATCACAAGACTGTGCTAGCAAAACCATGAATGTGCTAACTCTTTTAAAAGATGCAAATTCTTTCAGAGAAATGAAACTATGTCATTGGTTTCTAGATGATTAAATTCATAGTTGTAGTCTATTGTTCCAGGATGGCTCTGACAATTGAAATTCTATTAGCTGTGGGGACCAGCAATGGCAGTTACAGATCAGGGAGGCACCGCCTCTGCCCAGTCTGGTCTTCTTTTTAACAAAGAGCTGTGTCCTTAGGATCATGACCGCTCATAACCCATATCTACTGTAGACAACAGCTAGTGGAGCCAGGCTGCTCACATGGGTCTCCTAGATAATGTAGAGGGTTTTTTCCCCATTTATATTTTAATAAAACTAGCAGATGGGAATTCATCTGTAACATTCAGCAAGGGAATTAATATACTGAAATGTGGCCCTTTGACAGTTGTTCAAATGAGTATAAGGCTATCAGGGCAAGTGAATAGAGGAAAAAATAATTATAGAAGGAAGGAAACTGGAAACAGAACTGAGATGATTATGTAAGTCCTTTGAGAAATGAATAAAGGACCCTCTCAGAAGTAATTAAGTCTCTCTTATATCCACATGCTGCATTCTGGCTTATACACTTAAACACGTCTCCGGTTCCACTGCATCTCTGCTCAAAGACATCAGTGATGACCCAGTGCCCGCATTTATTACACTCCAACTCCTAGAGTTGGTCTTGGGTCTCAGGTGCTTCTGCAATCTGGCCTCAGTCTACCCCTAGAATAGTGATTCTTAACCTTGGGTGCATTTTTGAATCACTGGGGACATTTGTAAATTGTGGGTGCCTTCTCACATACACAAAAATAGACCAAATATTATAACTCACATGCATGCTAATTATATCATTGTCTATATACTATCATACCCACCAACAGACTTCAATGATAGAGTTGAATTTTGAGAAGATCATTTTGGCTACAGTGTGAGAAAAGATATTATAAAACAGCAACAGAAGAAAGTACAGCTGGGAATGTAAGTGAAAAAGTAGATTGGAGAAGTGGGAGAGCTTCAGATGGGTATCTGCAGCATTAGACAATTAATTAAATTAATATTACTTAAATATATACAAAATGTTAGAACTCTGGTGGGTTCTGAGCGTAAGGGGAAAGAGAATGTATAAAAACAATACGAAACAAAACATCCACCTTGACATCAGGTGGTTCACAGTACAGTGAGAGAGAGGATATAAACAAGCAGCTGTAACTGAAGTGGCATAAAGAGCTACAAATAAATTATAATGGGGGAATAGAGATCAGATCATGTGGCGATGTTTGTGGAATAATTAATAATAATACTGATGCGTGGGTCCCACCCCAGTGGCGCTGATTTAATGGGTCAGGATTACCAGGCATCAGTACTTTTGCAAAGTCTCCATTGACTGGAATGTTCAGTCAGTGCCAAGGAGTGTGTTGTATGGTCTTATCCACGCTTCCGGGCTGCTGTGGGGAAATGGAAGGGACACTCCTCCAAGAAGCCTGGGCTCAAGTCTCAGATTTCCCAACAATGACAGCAGAGGATAGAGCTAACATTTCTTGAGCAGGATCTGTGCTGAGCATTTCATGGACATCTTCTTAGTGTTTCTCAACCCTGGCTGCATATTAAAATAATCTGAGAACTTTGAAAAACTACTAACGTCTTGGTTTGGCTCCAGATCAATTAAATCAAATCTTTGGTATGAGTCTGGACATTTTTTTTTTTTTTTTTGGTAACTGCTCTTGCAGTTGATTATCTGCAGGATGTTGAGAACCACCAGCTTTGGAGTCCACTAGGTGATCATATTTTTATAAACCTACTGACTCCTTTATGGAGTCCCTGTTCCCTAGCCAAGCAAGCCTGTTTGCCATATCCTGAAAACATCACTAAGAAGACCCACAGGCCAAGGAGAGCTTCTCAATTATCCAATATGAGGTCAGGTAAAAAGGTTTTTCTCTTATTGGCTAAAGGACTTCTTTTCAAGCTTCTGATTAGTCTGTGAGGCTCCAGTATAGGAAGCACAAAGAGCACATTAGTCACTAATAGTGGAATCTAGAAATAGGTACTTTACATTTCCTCCCTCTGTTTTCTCTTCTCTACCTGAAGGGAGGCCATTGTATATTTAGTTTAAGGATCTTGGGGAGAGGGCCAAAATAACTGGGGATAGTCCTTCCCATACAAACTTACTGAACTTTTCAAGTTTGGTCAGAAAGTAGCCTTTCTAGGTATTCCAAGTAGGAAAGGTTTTAGATAAAGGGAATGAGACTTAAGAGGGCTTAGGGAAGCTTTGGCTTGAGTTCATAAAATCAGAAAGCACCCGAGTGGCTACAAAGCACCTGCAGATGACCTTAGTTTGCCCGTGGCACCAAAGCAGGTGGTTTACAGGGGCTCACCAGGAGCCTGCAAACTTCAAGAATCTTCGGAAGACCAGGAAATCAGGTAACTTCCAAGAACTTGCTTAGAGGTTGCTGCTGATAATCGCATGTTTGCCATCTGCTCGTGTTCTGGCAGAACTGCCACTGGAGAAAGTGGTTTCTCCTTCTCAACTATCTTCCAGATTTCATGTCTGTACCCCTCAGTGGCAGAATGTGACCTGGAAGTAAATGGGAAAAACAATTCTGGGAAATGCAGCCTTCTCCCCTGTGATGCAAAGCAAAACCTGGAGAGAGGCAGTGATGACATGGAATTAACAACAGACAATCTGACAAAATGAACTCAAGGTAAGTCAAGACAAGCTTATTTGGGGGAAGACTTAGAGGGGGGAAAAAAGAAGATGTGAGAAAAACTGTAAATGAGAAAAAGAAAGAAAGCTCAAGAAAAAATTTCTCTTGAAAGCAGAGTATGTAGCCAGCAGGAAGGTGCCCCCACGAGGCTCACAGAGTGACTTTCCTGTGGTGGTTTGAAATCTATGGTTTAGTCCTCAGCACGGCAGATTCAGAAATTAGGTTTTCAATCTGTAGCCACCTCCCCCAAGCCTCACAGTTTCCTGAACAATCTATATGAGAGACTTAAGTAGTCATCAGAAGGTGTTTTCATGATCATATAATCAGAGAAAGAATTGGTGGCTGGTCTTGGAGACCCCTCCAAACTGTCCTAGACCAGTGTGTGTTTAATATCTGCACCCACACGAGACTTCTGCTCCTCAGGGCTTGGCACACTGTCTGTTTTGCTCACCACTCAATCCCTGGCACTTAGCATAAGCCTGGTGCATGGTAGATGCTCCATGAACTTTGATTAATTGAATGGATACGTAATCGTCGTGAGGCCTGATGACGTATCCTTGATTCAAAGGACAGAACACCACACTAGTGACCTGATTTAGTACTTCTCTCTCTTGGTCGGTAGTAGATACTTAGTTCCATGGTTTCTCTCCTTTTATTAAAAAATTTCATATTGTCAGTCTTTTTGAATCTATAGATATATATGGATATATATGATATGTGATATATAGACACATAGGTATAATATATATCCATATATATATGATATAATGTATCTGCATGTATTATAAACTGTATCTCTGTATATTATATATATTTCTCTATATATTAGATATACAGTTATAGATATATATTATATAATGTATATATCTAATGTATATACATGTATTATTACATATTATATTATCATATTACTATTTGGAGGATTGCATATTACTGAATAATCTATAACAAAGTAACTATTTCAGTGGATCTAGAAGACTCTGCCTTTTCCCATCATGGATCGGTTTAATAAATTTAACTATTAAATGGAAACCTTCTTTCCCTTTCTTTTACGTCCGGGGCTTGGAGCTTTGTGAATGTCCATCAGGATTTCCTACGTGCAGATGCCAAGAAGCTCTACTAAAGGCATACCCTGCACTTGTGCTCTTCCAGCACTACCTGGCCAGGGGTCTTCCAGAGGGCTCCATGTTCCCTTCTATAGCCTGTTTTCTCTGTACCGACTCTCTAGGTGGATTAGACCAAGCTCCTCAATGTCCCATTGATTGATTGATTGATTGATTGATGATTGATGGAGGAAGATCAAAACTTCAACACTGGATTGTTAAACTAGGGCTGACTAATAATTTGCTGAGCAACAGGTGTGGTAAAGATTGTTCTTCCTCGCTTCCCTGGCTTTGCTTATGCTGTGCCCTTCATATGCAATACTGTGAGCTCCTCCTGCCACCCACTGTTTAATTGAGTTTAATTCTCTCTACTTTTCTGGGAGTGGTTCATGGTGTTTCAAGGAGCCTTCCCAAACAACTCTGTCCTACTTTGTTCTCTTTTATTCTAATCTACTCTGTACAGTTGGCTATACTAGTCATTTTAGTGCTAATTATATTCCATTATACTTTTCCTAAATTCCTTCAACTTTGTGTGTGATAATAAATTCTTGAGATAGAGGAACATGTCACATATTGGGGAGTGTGTGTGTGTGTGTGTGTGTATTCCCCCATAGTGCTTAGCAGAATGTTAGGACCTGTAAATATTTTATATTCATTTTTCATTTATTCATTTGTTCATTCATTCTCTCAACAAATATTTATTGAATGACTACTATGTGTCCAGGTCCTTTTCTAAGTTGTTATAGAACAAAAATCCCTGCCCTATATTTTAGGGAGTGTAGGCAAACAATAAACAATAAACTCAATGCATAAGTAAATTATAGCATAGTAGAATGTAACAATTGCTATGCAAAAAAAAGGAAAAATAGAACAGTGTGAAGGAAGTCTCAGGAATTCTGGGATCTAGGGCTGGTGGGTTGTATTAATTAGAAACCCACAAGCAACTGATATTTGAGCAAAGATTTGAGGAACACGAGAGAGTGAGCCATGCAGACATCTGGGGAAAGAGCTCTCTAAGCTGAAGATACAGCATGTGCAAAGGTTCTGAGGTAAGATTGTGCCTGGCATGTTGGAAGAACAGCAAGGGGTCCTTTGGGCTGGAGCAGAGTGAATGAGGGAGATAGCAGTAGAAGAAATCAGAGAGGTAATGGAAAAGCCAGATCATGTAACCTTAAAAGGTCTTTGTAAAGCTTTTTGGATTTTACTCATGGTAAACTGGGGAGTCATAGGAGGGATGTGAGCAGTGGCATCACCTGATCTGATTTTTATTTCAGAAGGACGTTTCAGATTGCCAAGTGGAGAGTATTCCAGGGACCTAAAGAGAAGAAAACCTTCTCTTTAAAGGGTCAGATGTAAACATTTTAGGCTTTGTGGGCCATATGATCTCTGTCAAATCTGTTCATTTCTGTGCCATTGCAGCACATAAATAGCCATGGACGGTATGTAGACAAATGGGCCTATTTGTGTTGTAATAAAACTTTATTTACAAAAACAGGCAGTTGACAGAGTTTGACTTATGGACTATAGTTTGCCACCCTTGGCATAGACTATAAAGAGGCAACTATAGAAACAGGAAGACCTATCAGGAGGCTATTGAAGTAATCCATGCAGGAGATGCTGAAAGCTCAGAACTGAGTGGAAGCAATAGAGATGGCAAGAAGTGGTTGAATTTTTTTTAAGGCAGATGATTTTCTGATGAATTGCATGTGTGGTGTGAGAGAAAGAGAGGAGTCTAGGATGACTTCTTGTTTGTTCTAAGCAACGATAAAGATGTGCTGGCAGCAATTGAGGTGTGGAAAGCTGTGCATGAAGAAGGACATTTTTAGACGTGTCAAGTAAGCGGTTGGCAACAAAAGTCAGAGCATCGTGAATTGGATTAGCCTAAAAAGTATGCTACAAGGACACGTTTTAAACTCAAGTGTTGATTGCTCGAATTTGGAGACAGTGACCCGATTGTACAAAAAGCTGGGGAATTCAGAAGCATGCAATGATATTACCATGGAGGAAGAAGTTGGTCATAGATCATGTCCAGCCTTTGTTTGTATAACAGTGATCATACTGTTACTGCCCAAGAAACAGTAAGCCAAAGAAAACTGAGTTAAAAGTCACTGAGAGTTGTAAAACTTCCATTAATTATTAAAATTAGAAACAGGCAACAATTCTTAATGTTAAAATTTTTGGCAGAGGTCATCTAGAATTGAGCCAATAATTGCTGAGCCAAGGACAGAGTTGCACAGGACAGAGTTGTGGTGCCTGTCTGTATACTAAGTTGCTCTACTCGGAGGATCCTCAAGGTGTGACCACAAGGACCCCTTGAACAGGTGCTGGTGGCTCTCAAACCCCTTTAGGGGAAAAGGACCACCTGCAACTGCAGGTTGCTCATTCTTGCGTCCTCACGCTGCAGAGGGGCTATGGGGCAGGGCAGAAGGCACTCGAAAACTTTTGCCAGGCCACTTACCCTCTCTGAGCCTTGTTGTCCTCATCTGGAAAACGGGAATATTTATCTCACAAGCCTGTATAAAGTTGAAAGTGATGATATTTGTAAACATCCTGAAGGGTTGTGCTCACCAATCACCCTTCTATCTGAATATCAGGAGACAAACACAATTGCAGTTCATTTGATCTGTGTAAGTTCCCGAGTTGAATCGAATAAGCTAACTTTATAACTTCATAAATTTTACTTTTCTCAGGCAGAGTTTTAATGTTTTTAATCTTCAAAGATATTTGGAAGGCTCCCAACTCTTGGGTAGAGATATATTCTGTCCTGCTCTAGATTCCAGGCATTAACTGCCCAGCTGCCCCAGTCCTGAAGCCCTGAGAAAAATCTCCCCCCGACCCCTCCCCTGAATAGAAGCTCCTGAGGATTAAGCACTCTGTCTTTCCCCCCCTACCATTTGTAATGAGGTTATCTCTCCAACATCTACTTCTTCTTTTAGTAAGAACCCAACTTTTAGTTCAAATATCTCATCCCAGCCAGTGTGCTCTGGGGAAAGCTGAATCCCTAGGAGTGGGGCATTTGACTTCAATGTGAGCTCATCAGTAATTGCATATCTTGTTCACACTGATTAGTTCATATATGAGCATATAGCTCAAGTTAGGTTGGTGAGGGTCACGTACGTGTTTGCTAAGCACTGCCGGGAAGGGTGGCTTCCTACATTTCTAAGAAAATTTCTAAAAATCACAGTCTTTCTCTGTGCATGTGGACAAGAGTTCCCCAGGAGTCATTAGTAAGCATCCGTTATGGGTTCACTTGTGTCCCCCTACCCCCCCACCCCAACAAAATGTATTTGTTGAAGTCCTAATTCCCAGTACTTCAGAACATGAAAGTATTTGGAGATAGGGCCTTTACAAAGGTAATTAAGGTAAAATGAGGTCATATGGGTTGGACTTAATCCACCTGACTAATGTCCTTATAAGAAGAGGAGACTAGGACACAGACATTCACACACTCGAAGAAAGACCATGTGAAGTGTCAAAATTGATAAACAGCAACCTCAATTAAAATAGTCAGGAAGCCAGAAGGGGGAGCTCTCCTGTCCTATGAAGACAGCAGAGCCCGACAGGAAGAAGAAAGACTTTCTCTTCTCTCCTGGCAAGAGCTCAGCCAATGAGAAAACGTCAGCACAACTCAGCCAATGAAAAGCCATTATCGTTTGAACTCTCAAGTCCTCCGGTGGACACTTTGTTTCCTATAGCCCTCCCAGCTTCCCTTTCCCCTCTTTAAAAGAGTTCTCCTCTCCTTCCTGTGAGAGGACTTGCACATGGCTTGCCATACTTGCACACCCTGAATGGCAGTTCTTTACTGATCCTGAATAAACCCTATTTTTTTTCTGGAGAAATAATTGGCAGTCTATTTGTTATAGGTCAACAGAAGACAAAAGAAGAAGATGGCCACCACTTCAAGGAGAGAGGCCTCAGAAGAAACCAAACTTGGCAACATCGTCATCCTGGACCTCTAGCCTCCAGATCTGTGAGAAAAAATTTCTGTTGTTTAAGCCACCCAGTCTGTGGTAATTGTTATGGCAGCCCTAGCAAATGAATACAGCATCCTACAACCAGGATGAGGAACAAGGCTGAGAGTGATGCCTTCTACCACGTCAGAGACAGGGTCCTTGGTGGCATTCCCGAATCGCTAAGCAAATCAAGCCCAGAGCTTATTCTGTCACTGAACTTTGCATGACAAAAGCAAAATTGTCCCCCTTTTTGCTTTATTGTTTCAACTGTAACTAATAACCAAGTACGCCACTGTGTCCTTAGTAACCTAGAACCAAGCCTCATCATAGTAAGTGCTTAATAGTATTTGTTAAATGACTAGAGGAAGGAATGAAAGAATAAGCCACAAAAGGAATTGTAGTGTGTTGATCTGGGAAGCCCAGTGAGGTAGCAAGCAGCAGAGGAGTGAGTCAATCTTATTATTATTACTATTATTACTACATTCCACTGGACACGTTCTATGTGGACCAGGAGACAGATATTACCATTTTTAGGCAACAGAGCTAATTCATAAAGGTGACCTGTACTCATTATAACAAAAGTTGTTTAATTGGCAGACATCTGAAAATGTAAAAATTCCCCTCAATTTCTACAACTGGAAATTTCTAATTAGAAGCACAGGACTACTAGAGCCAGATCATTTCTGGTCTCTTAATATCATCCAGATAACTCCTTCATTTTAGAGATGAGAAAATGAACACTTAGTGAGGTTAAGTGCCCTTTCCAGGTCACACAGTGTGATAATGGTGGAGCAAACGGAGGGAACAATAAAGAAACCCAATTTCTCTAAAGAGGAAAAAGTTTTCCTGGGATAAGAGTTCATTCCTTTTAGTTAAATTATTCCCATAGTGATAGGACAATACCTTCTTTTCCTGCTCAAGAGAAACTGATTTTCTTTACAAACATAGACCATCTCTTCTCAGAGTGGGAAACAATGATGGTATTGTATAGCCACTGTATGAGTAATCTAAATGAAAAGCATGCACATTTATTCAGATGTTAGCCAATCAAGCAACTTTTAGTGGAATGAGTGAGTCATATGGTAGAGAAATTTTGTAATATTAAGTAGAAAAGAATACACAAATGTCAGACAAAAAAATCCTTTAAAACCCTTTTAGTTCAGGAAACATACTTAAATCTTAAGCAGTGTGTTTTGTGTTCTTTTTACACTTAAGAAAAACTTTGACATTGTGGCATAAAAGGTGAAAGATGAGATAATAAGACATTAGGCAAGTTGTGAAAAGAGAAATACTGAGAAGTTGACAGAAATAAAAAGGTACTGGATAATATAAGGAATGAATGTTTTGAAACTGCTCCAAGGAAAGGCAACTTTTAAGATACTTTAGAAACATTAAAAGGTAGAGTTAACACTGCTAATCAAAATCAAATCAATAATTAGAAAAAGTTTTACTAGTTAGAAGAATAGGACCAAGATATATAAATGGTGAGAGAGAAGGACCATAGTTACTGACGTATGAATAGTTAGTGCTCCTGAACATAGATAAGAATAAATGGAAGATAATCAATATTCAGACATAAATAAAATGAGCTAAGAAATCACTTTAATCTGCAGATCCAAAGAGCTTACTTGGCTAAAAGCAGAACTGATATAGTGGATCAATAAATAGATATAACCAGGTAAAAGTATGAATCCTCAAAAAAAACAAAAATTAGGGGACTTCCCTGGAGGTCCAGTGGTTAAGACTCTGAACTTCCATTGCAGGGGGTGCAGGTTTGTTCCCTGGTAAGGGAACTAAGATCCCATACCCAGCTCAGCACAGCAAAAAAAGGAAAAGAAAATCTGGAAACAAAAGAAAAAATCTGGTAAGCTATAAAGGAAGAAATTCCAGGCTGACTTTAGACTTCTCTGTAACGTGGGGTGCCAGAAGTCCGTGGAGCAACATCTATGGTGATCTGAGTTGTGAATTCAAGATTTCCTCATCTATACTGCCATTGTTTTGGAGGCAAGAGAAAGTCTTTTTCATTGATGCCGGGTGCTTGAGAATCCTATCCAGGCTGAATGAGGAAAAATATTAGCACTCAAAGTACTCCAGAAAATTGGAAGCTCTATCAAAATAAAGGAACCAAGAATGGGGAAGCCAACTATTGGTGAGCATTGGAACATTCAAATATAGAAATACTTGCTGATAATTATTGCAAGCATAGTCACAAAGCAGAAGACAAATGAGATAAATATATTTTTTAAATGAGATTTTATTAAAATGCTTAGTCCCGTGCTTGGAAAACAAATGCAATAAAAATTAAATAGACGCATTTAATATTAATATCACATAAATAAAATTTAAGCAAGCTAATAAATGAAACTAGAAGGATTGTGTGTGTGTGTGTGTGTGTGTGTTTGTAACATTAAGCACTCAGACCTATATTAAAGATATATTAGTCAGGAGCCTTTAGGAGCCAAATAACAAAATGTTAAAATTTATAAAATAAATATTGATAAAAAATACTGGGAGAAAATTAGACAAAGTGTGAAACTGTTTAACAGCACTTTTAGTCACTCATGACATATCAAATAGGCAAGAAGTACATATATGGAGATAGAGAAAATCTGAAGACTGTAATTAATAAGGGCAAATTCAGAAAGATAAGCACAAAGAATACATTGAGAGACTGAATATACATATGGACAATGACCAGACTGTATATAAAGATGGAACTCTGAACTGCAACCTGAAGTAACCAGCTCAGGAAGCCAGCCTACTATCTGTAGCAACCAGTCCAGAAAGCCAAACAATAACTGCTCTAGTGATCTGCCCCAAATAGGAAGCACTTGATTAATAACTGACAGCTTCCCTTATTAATAACCGACTCTGCTTCCAACTTAGGACCAAACAGAGAAAGACAAATATGCAATGCTAACCAATCACATAGGATGCTGTGCTTCTGGTTAGTCTGCCTACTGCTTCCCATGCCAACAGTTTCCAATCAGGGCACACCTGCAGCCTTTCCTTTTTTTGTGTGTGTTACAAAGCTTTCCCACTCCTCTGCCTACCTTTGAGTCCTGCCAACCCAAATGATACTGACTGACTTCCTTGCTATAGTAAGCTCTAAAGTAAACAACCATTGCTTTTTTTCATTTAGGTGATTTTTTTTTTAATTTCCCCAATTTTAATTATTATGTCCTAATTTTTAGTAAACGTTAGATATTTTTCAAAATAAATAATTATGTGTTATACCTCAAAGGTACTTTTAGTAAATTCCAAAGAGCAGGAATCCTTCTAAAAATATTCTCTGACTGCAAGGCAATAAAATTAAATGTGAATTACAAAATGTTAAAGAAAAATAAAGTTGCCTAGAAATTAAAGATAAGAATAACCAAAAACTACTAAATAGTTATTTAGTAGTGAAAGAGGAAATTAAAAATTCAACACTAAAATATTTGGAAAATAAAAACAATAAGAATTATCTCATAAAATTTATGCATTTAGAAAAAAATCCTTAGTCTTAAGCATTTTCATTATGAAAGGGAAGAATTACAAGTAATGTCATCAAGATGGCAACATAGATCATTCCTGACTTCAGTCCCCCTCACAAGAAGACCAACTAGCAAGTGTCCATAGACAAGACATGATTGTGAAAACTCTAGAACACAGGGGTGATGTGAAACAACCCCCTGGACCACAGAGACCAAGAAGGACCACGTTAGAAGGGTAATTTGAAGAACTACACCCTGACAGCATCGTCCTTCCCCCAGGCAGGCACAAGGCCACACTGAGAGGGCCCTACTGGGCCTACAATTTCTCCAGTGGGGAAAAAATATCCCAAAGTGAGCATCCACTTCCCCCAGTGTTGCAGGATGCTTCCCAGGATGCCCTCTCTGGTCTCAACTCACAAGAATCACTGGGAAAATCTGCAGGGCTTGACCACTGTGGATCAGAAACAAGCAGAGAAGAAAGGTGGAGCTTATAACAACCAGTGCTCAGATCTTGGCAGATGACATTTCTCTTCACACATGCACCAGAGCAAAGATCACAGATGGTGACCCCATTTGGCTAGGGAGCTTAGTTGGTATTTTTGCCTGATTTGGGTTGCAGGATATAAAATCAACATACAAAAGTCAGCTGCATTTTGATGCACTAACAATTATCTGAAAAAGAAATAAAGGAAACAATCCCATTTTCAATAGCATCCAAAACAATAAAATACTTATTAATAAATTTAATGAAGGAGGTGAAAGATCTGCACACAGAAAATTGTAAGATACTGATTAAAGAAATTGAAGAAGACACGAATAAATGGAAAGATACCCCCTGTTCATGGATTGGAAAATTTAATATTGTTAAAATGTCCATAATACCCAAAACAATCTATAGATTCAATGCAATCCCTGTCAAGATTTCAATGGCATTTTTCCACAGAAATAGAAAAAAATTCCTAAAATTCATATCAAATCACAAAAGACCTCAAATACCCAAAGAAATTCTGAGAAAGAAGAACAAAACTGGAGGCATTACACATTCTGATTTCAAAATATACTACAAAGCTGTAATAATCAAAACAGTATGGTACTGGCATAAATATAGACACATAGACCATTGAAACAGAATTGAGAGACCAGAAATAAACCCATGAATATAAAGTCAACTAATAGTTGACTGTAGGGAGCCAAGAATACTCAATGGATAAAAGATAATTTCTTCAATAAGTGTGCTGGGAAAACTGGATATTCACATGCAAAAAAATGAAACTGGACCCCGTATCTTACACTGCTCACAAAGATTAATTTGAAGTGGATTAAAGAAAAATGTAAGATCTTGAAGCCATCAAACTCCTAGAAGAATACATAGGGAAAAACTCCTCAATATTGTTCTTGGTGATGATTTTATGGATATGACACCCAAAGCATAGGTAACAAAAGCAAAATAACCAGGCAGGAATATGTCAAACTAAAATGCTTATACATAAAAAAAGAAATGATCAACAAAATGAAAAGGCAACATATGGAATGGGAGAAAATATTTGCAAACAATATATCTGATAAGGGGTTAATATCCAAAATATATAAGAAACTCATACAACTCAATAGCCAAAATAGAAATAATCCATTTAAATTATGGGCACAGAACATAAATAGACATTTTTCCAAAGAAAATATTCAAATGGCCAACAGGTACAAGAAAAGATACTCAACATCACTAATCACCAGGGAAACACAAATCAAAACCACAAAGAGTTATCACCACAAACGTTAGAATGGCTATTATCAGAAAGACAAGAGGTAAGTATTGGTGAGGATGTGGAGAAAAGGGGACTTCTGTACATTTTTGGTGGGAATGTAAATTGGTGTAGCCACTATGGAAAACAGTATGGAGTTTCCTTAAGAAATTAAAAACTCCCATATGATCCAGCAATTTCACTCCTGTGTATATATATCCAAAGGAAATTAAATCTCTATCTTCAAAGTATCTGTACCTCCATGTTTATGGCAGCATTATATACAATAACCAAAACATGGAAACAACCTAAGTTTTCATCAGTGGATTAATGGATAAAGACTACATGGTATAGGGCTTCTCTTGTGGCGCAGTGGTTAAGAATCTGTCTGCCAGTTCAGGGAACACAGGTTCGAGCCCTGGTCCGGGAAGATCCCACATGCCGCGGAGCAACTAAACCCGAGCGCCACAGCTACTGAAGCCCGCGCGCCTAGAGACCACACTCTGCAACAAGAGAAGCCACCTCCATGAGAATCCTGCGCACTGCAATAAACAGTAGCCCCCGCTCGCCGCAACTGGAGAAAGCCCACACGCAGCAACGAAGACCCAATGCAGGCAAAAATAAATAAATAAAATAAATAAATTTATAAAAAAAAGAATACATGGTACACATACACAATAGAATATTATTCAACCATAAAAAGAAAGAGATCCTCCCATTTGTGACAACATAAATGAATCTTGAAGGCATTATGAAATGTCCAAGACAAATGCTATATGTGGAATCTGAAAAAAAAAAAAAAAAAAAAGAACTCATAGAAACAGAGGACAAATTGGTGGTTACCAGAGGTGGGGATTGGGGAAAATGGGTGAAGATGGTCGAAGGGAACAAATTTCTGGTTATGAGAAGAATAAGTTCTGGGGATGTAATGTACAACATGGTGACCGTCATTAACAATACTGTATTGTATATTTGAAAGTTGCTTAGAGAGTAGATTTTAAAAGTTCTTAACATACCTCCCTCCCCCGCCAAACACAGATTGTAACTATGTGAGGTGATGGATGCTAACTGAATTTATTGCAATAGGTACATACAGCATATCATTACTTTGTACATATTAAGCCTTTACATAGTCTATGTCAACTTTATCTCAATAAAGCTGAAAAAATATTTAAAAAACGAATGAGCAGAATTAAAATAAATAAATGAACTTAGTATGCAACTCAAAACCCCAGGGAAAAAGTGAGTGAAATTAGCATTGGAAGTGGTAGTGAACTCCATGGATGGCCTTGAATACCTCAGTCTTCCTGGTCTCACCTCCCTGCCTGAACCTCTCAATTTTCTCTGCTGTCAGATAATTAACAGGAAGGCTTTGAGGGTGGCACATACCTTCGTTTATTAGTAAATTGCTCTCCAGAAAGTGCTTTGAGGCAAAGCTAATTTCCACCAATGTGAGAAGATTTGGTCCTATCAGAAGAAGGACGTTATTTGAATATGTGCCAATATATATATATTTTCTGTCTTTCCTTGGTTGAACACTCAATGGGAGTTACTCTCATTAGCTCCCCTTCTTTATGGCATTTGAATAAAAGACAAGTCAGTCTTGAAGATGATAAATGACTAATAAATTTTAATTGGCACTTTAGCTCATAAAATATAAACAGTCATTAAATTCATCCAATAGATTGTTAAAATGGAAGTGCTAAGAATGGCAGAATATGCCAAAATAGCAGCTTTAAGAACTTCTGGTTTCCTTCCGTTCTCAAGACTAAACCTACAGTCAAAATTCCTAATGGAAGATATAGAGAAGAATTAGGTAAGATTTTTTGAAGGGATAAGAAATATGGAGAAGAGGGAAGTGAATTAAAATATACAGATGCAAAATAAAAACAATTCTTCAAATGTCTTGTAAATGATGTGTTCTTTGTTTTCACAAATACGAGTGCTGCTATAATTACTGTGGGGGAAAGAAAGGCCAGATTAGGTGTGGCTTCTTCTCTGATACACTGGCTAGGGTGGAAGAAAATGCTCCTTTTTAAAATAAGCAAATTAGCCTTGAGTAGGTACAGATAGAACATTTATAGGCGAACAAAGAGAATCCGTGTCCTCATAACTATTGCAAGCCAGTAGGGCTTTTGTTTTCAGGGTCCTTTTTAAACAAGACTCAGTGTGGATCTGTGTTTCTAGAGCATTTGTCCCGTGACATTTTTCATCATCTTTTAATCTTGGGTTACCTAACAGGACATTGGCCAGTTTGAAGTGTCTTCTTTTGATGCAGTAAGTTCATGTCTATAAATTTTCTTAAATAAATAATAAAGAATGCTCACAAGATTTAATTGTGAGAATATTCATTGCAGAATTGCTAATAATAGCCAAAAACTGGGTGGCGGGGAGGTTATGTGAATAGTCAACAATAGGAGTTTATCTACTTAATGGGGCAGTCATCCAGTGGGTCACTGCAGTGTTTGGACAACATGCGAAGTGCTGGCCTTCCAAGACATGAGGTCTAAAGAAGAAAGCATGGCACTCTGGAGGAAGCACCTTCAAAGCAGTCAAATGGGTAGTCAAACAGAGATTCATTGTCTAAACTTCTCAGTTCTCAATGGAAACTGAAATATGGAAGACGAGCTATGCCAGAGACTGCTACTTATCTCTGTTCTCTCATTCTTCCTTAGGAAAAGAAGCTTGATTTTATTCTGGCCAATGGGTTAAAAATGAACAAACAAAAACATTTACCAGCTTTTCTTCAGTTAGAGATAACAAATGAGATGCAAGCAAAAATTAATGGGTGGGAGTTCTAGGAATGCCAGTTAAGAGGACACATAGCTGGCATGAGCCCCTCTTGTCCTTCCTCCTCTCGTCCTTTTTGTTAGACTAGAATCTGGGGATTATGGCAGGAGTTCTAGCAGCCACCTTGAACCAGGAGCCATCCATACCATGAGGTGACCTTGAGTATGAAAATCCTTTAATAGAGTAAAAATATATATACAGGAGCCTGAGACCCCAGTGACAAGAAAATAAAATATGATCCCTGGACCGTCTACCTCCAGAATTCTTTACATAGGTGAAAATAAATCCTTGTAAACTTAAGCCACCATTATCTGGATTTTATAGATGTGCAGATGAATCTGACTCCAATTGATTCACCTACTAAATGGAAATCAAAATGTTCCTTAAAGAATCACTCAAGGACACCGGCCTGTAAGTAGGAAGCTGCTCTTAGGAGGTGAGTCATGATGGAAAATATTATTTAATGAAGGGCATTAATATTGCCTTACCCAGTAATAACTGTTAACTCTTACTTTTCTCTATCAGAAGAGCCAAGAATTAATGTCTCTGAATTTAATTTTCCAAATATGTGTGTCACTGATGATGTCAATTGAATCTGATGATTCAAGAATATGTTTATGTGAAAAAATTTGGTTATCCTATAAAACAACATTGGAGAGTCAAAGACACAATTGGTTGTAGCTGAAAGTTTCAAAAATATATAATATTCAATTTTAATATATTTGCTTTGCTATAATGCAATCTCCCTCTGTTGCCAGAAACATTTGACAAAGTCTTTTAAACATAGAAAGTTATGTTTCTGTGGATGATTTTAAAGAATATAAAAGAAAGGGGAGCTGAGTGCCCTGTTAGGGTCAGTATGGCTTAAAAAGAAAAAAAAAAGACTAGGGAAGGTGAGATGCCTGTAAAAGAGAGCAAAGGTTCAGCAGAGTTAGCAAGTAAGAACCAGAAGTGATGACTAAAAATATAAAGTCCAGAAAATTTGAATAAATCTTGGGGAGGCCATTAGCATAGGATAGGGGACTCAAATCAAATTTATGTAAATCTGAAAGAATAGGATCCTTCAGCTGATACCAGAGTAACCTTTTTATACATACTAAAGACTCAGATATGTATTCTCAAATCCCTTACTACAGGATCTGAGATCATGGTGACATGTGTATGAAGGAAATTTTAACACTTTAAGTAAGAAGTTAGCCTAATCTCAGACTCTAGGCAAACTTTCTCTCTCCAAGAATTCTTCAGTTGAAATGCTCCTGATCTGACCCCTTGAGTTTTTCCAGAGGGTATTAACAAATTAATTTATCTAGACTATCTAGACTATCTAGAACATTCGTGAGAAATTAAGCCCAGGTTAACATAGCAGACTATGGATTTGACTAGAACATGCAACTCTTCTTTTTGACAATAGATGGTGAAATTTCAGTTCATTTATTATTATTCTTGACAGTACTTTAAATTCTAAGCTGATATCCTTACCACCTCTAAATTCTTACACTCTAGAAGAACACATAGTTTTGTAGAATGTTGGTTACAACACTGTAATTGAAAAAATATGGTGAAAGAAAGTTATTATACCCTCATCCAAGAATTTTGCATTTACTCGATAATCCTAATTACCCTTTACTCTATTTTCTGGGATATATTCTTTAAGCTCATAAGACGGTATGATATGGTAATATCACCTTAGTGAACCATGGAGGCTGCTGTGTATAGGGAAAGTAGAACTCTTTAGAATGCTTTGGTAGCACTGATAATGATATTTTCAAGTTTGTTGTATAAGGAGTTATTTTTATAATGGAATCTTATAAATATTTAAATATGTTAAATTTGCTGGAAGAAAAATTCAAATTTGAGTTTTATATCCCTGTAGAAATTTCTCCCAAATTTGCGGTTGCATTTTGGACTGATAATACACCAATTCTATTGGTAAAATAATTGAAAGTGAGGAGCCATTGGAATTCTGCACACACTGCAGTTATGTACCTGTGATGGCCAGCTGAGCCACAAAGGTCATTCTCGACTTCCTCTTCCTTCTCAGTGTAGAGAACAGCATGATGGCATTTCCAACAATGGTAAAAACACAGAGGACCCACAGAGTTATCAACTGCTCAGTCTGTGAGAAACAAAGCAACACAAAACTGGTGTATCAGTGAGGATCAGGGTACTTTACAGAATGCAAGGCTCAGGCTTTGGTGTTGAACAGTCTTCCTCCTGGTCTCCTATCCCCACCTGTCAAAGCTCTACTCTCAAGAGAACAAAGACACAGTTGTCCTTATTTACACTGGCAGCAGTGTAAATTGATGCAACCTTTAAAAAGATCCATTTGGAAATATATGCCAAGAGACAAAAATGTATACACAGTATTCTTGCCAAACAATTTTAAGCCTATGTGAAAGAATTCTAAGTTTGAAAAAGAACACTACAATCACTACGCATATTTACTGTAAGAAGAAATTGGAAATTGTTGAAAGATAATAGGATAGTTAAGTAAATAAAGCACTTCAATTCAGTGAACTATTATGTAGCTATTAACAATGACAGACATGAAGATTATGTGGCAACATTAAAAATGCTTATAATATAATGGTAAATGGAAAAACATAATAAAATTGTATGTTGGGTGTGATTACAACTCTGCAAAATTATACATGCAGGGAAAAGACTGAAGTATACTAAAATGTTAAGCGTGGTTATTTTAGGGTAGTGTGATTATGGGTTATCTTACTATTTCTCCTTTGACAGAATTATATAATATAGTAATATTAAAGTTCCACTGAATAGTGTATAATTAGTAAAGATGAATAAAGCAGGAATGCTACTCATTTAAAATGTCAAGTTCTTCATAAAAAGTTTTCCACTCTTCCTTCAAATGGAACTTTCCATCTACCTAAAGTCCATAGCCCAGAATAAGCAGAAGCCCGGGGGAACAGGATGGGTTGGACATAAGGACGGGGTGGGCTGAGCTATGGGTGAGGAACAGGGAGCCAAGGGGATCCAGAGGCAAGTCGGAAATCAGAAGCCAAGAGACTTCAGCCCAAAAGGTCTGGGCAGAGTCCTGGTAAGAATGCACACGTCTAAGACTGGAATGAGAAGTGCTTCTGTTTGGAGAAGATGGTAAGAAGAGCCTGAAGAAACCCCTTGTGATGGTAAAATTGTATGTGTCAACCTGGCCAGGCTAGAGGACCCAACTGTGTGGTCAAACCCTAGTGTAAGGTGGTTGTTGTGAAGGTGTTTTATAGATGTGATCAACATCTACAATCGCTTGACTTTAAATAAAGGCAGATTACCCTCCCTAATATGGGTGGACTTCAACCAATGAGTTGAAAGCCTTGAGAGCAAAAGCCGAGGTTTCTCCGGGAAGAAGGAATGCTTCCTCAAGAATTCCTTGTGGGACATAGAAATCAAGCCTAAGTTTCCAGCCTGCTATATCCTTTAAGGATTTCAGACTTGCCACTCTGAAACACTGCAAATCAAATTATCCCGGTTTGATGTATCAGTGACTTGGAGGTCAAGCCTCAGGAGGGCTGGAGCAGTCAGTGCTGGCTCGCCTGAGCCTTTTCTTAGGAGCTTGCAGTAACTGTGCTTTGGGCTGGGCGTCCCAGGGTGCTCTGTGAACAGGTCAGGGTCTGTTCTCCTTGGGATTCGATGATGTGTACGGAGCAGGTTGAACAAATCCTGTGAAATCAGGTCCACTCCTTCTGCTTTGGAGTTTTCTATTGAAAGACAATCTCAACCTTAAGTCACTGGCTCCAGGAAATTTCCAGGTGAGAGAAGTTCCCTACTGTTGCTTTCCAAGAGCCATGTTTCTTTATTTGTTAATTCATTCAGTATCAGTGAATTGTCTCTAGTAGAAAGTGTTGGCACTACAAAGGAGACTAAAACATGTAGATTGTATAAATTATACCCAGCCAGAATTAAGTCCTGTTTCATCAAGTTGTACAAAGGTCATTAAGTATGAAAACAATTACATAGTTGTAGGATCATTTATTCATAGTATACTTAAACCCATGCTTGCACATACACCTAAACACACACGCATCCCAGGGTAATACGAGGATTTGGAGAATTATGACAATAGGAATTGGGGAAACAAGTGTAGAGGCATTTGAGCATCACAGTCAAGTGAGCCATTTAGTAGAAAAGTGAGTGGGCATTCAAACCAGCCTGATTTGGAATCAGATTCTTTACTACTTGCTAGATGTGTGACACATCAGTAAATGATAACCTCTCTGAGCCTGTTTTCTCGTTTATAAAATGAAGACAGAAATAAAATCTGTCTCAGGATACTTGTGATGGATAGATATGATGACAAAAATGGAGATTTCTAGCTCAGTGACTGATGCATAGTACACACAAAGTAAAACTTGGTTTATCTCCTTTCTTAGTTTCATGGACTACATTTAGGTTTGAGCAGTGATTTATAAATAACTCACTACTTTTTAAGAATGATGCTTGAATTTACCCTCTTTGTCCTATTTTCAGTTCCAGTCTGCTGAAATTTCACTTGAGCCTCACAGGCTTTCCACCTGCGCCTCTTCCCCACAGGTACGGACGGTATACCAACACCATTCTCAGAACCAGTGTTTAAGAATATAGTTGGGGATTAAATGCCCCCTAGTGGTCATGTGAGGCAAAAATTCAAGCCAGATGCTCAATAGTGAGTAGAGGGAATAGGTGAATTTGGAATTTTTCAGTGACTAGAGACTGTTTTAAGCTCAGTTAAATAGTTGTGGGATTATGACTAATTGGTTTTTAACCTCAAGTTACTGAGGTCACGCAGTGACCCCAGCTTCCTGCAGAGCAGAAAATTACAACCTTGGTTTGAGAGGGATGAATTGCAGTGTTCTCTTGACGATGCTGATGCTGCCATGGGGCTGATACCTGGGATTTGACTCCATGCGATATGCTTCCAGAGCCAGAAGGATTTCCATGAGGCCAGGCATTAAGTCTGAGTCACCATTTTGGACTGAAATTTTATCTTCCCCATAGAAAGTGATTAATAAATATCTGATGGATGAATATATGGTTGATGACAAGGACAAGGGTACTTATAAGTATCGTAAGAGGTTACTTGAAATGAAAATCATCTCAGGAAATACAGGACATTTAGCTGTATGACTTGTTGAAACTAGATATGTCAGATTTGTCTGGAGAGGAAGACATGATTTATTCAAATCCAAGGAATAATAATCCTCTTTTCCTTTGCAGTCCCGGAAACTGAAAACAAACAAAACCAAACGAAGACAAACAAAAAAACTCTAAGGTATCTTTAACAATCACAGAGTGAATAGGAACTAACATTATTTGAGCGAATCACTTTTTAATCTAGCACCTGACTGACTTAGTTTGTAATGTATAATAGGTACTCAGTAAATAGGTACTCATTGGTCAGGCTGCCAATCGTCACAGCCTGACTGATGAGATGACACTGTCCTCATTCTTATAGGTGAGGAAGTAGGGCTCAGAGAAGTTGATATCTAGGATACCTGGCTTATAAGCGATACAGACGGAGTTTGAACATGGCTTTGCTTGACTGAAAGTCCATGCCCTGCTTACTGTAGTGGCTTTCTGCTCGAATATTAGGCCAGAGACGGTGAAGCTGCCTCATTTCTTTTCAATTTTCAAGTGGGAAACAGATCTTCATTTTCCTTCTGACCCAAACTTGTCTGAAGCTGGGTTTTTGGAGCTGAGTCGGTTTCATGACTGTCTCCCCCAGGACTGAGAGTAAGGTCAATGCTCAGTATGTGTTTGGATGGATGGACTCTGGAGTAACGTGTGGCTTCCACACAGCAGAAGTCGTAAATATCGCACAAGATGCAGCTGCATCGTCTGCCCCAGGGATCACAGGGCTTTCTCTACCCTTTACATTTTTATGTTTCATTTTATGGTTCCTGTTATTTCTGTGATGTTGAAGATGAATATCTCAAACACAGGAAGGAGAGAATACATCATACTTCCCAAGAGAGGAAATGAAGTCTCAGAAGGTTATGATTCAGCCTCAGTTCTCAGCCAGCAGTCCAAGAAGCTCTGCTGTCCTGTCACTGAGACCAGTGTACCACCTGTCATTCACAGCATCAGGCTCTGAGGTCTGCTCCAAGCCTCAGTAATTGGCTTAGGTGGGTTGGAAATACCAAAAGCAGAGCTCTGAAAGCATCTAATTCCATTGAGGCTGAATCACTATGTAACACAGGGAGCACACAATCTGAAGTGAGATAGGCAGGAGCAGACTGCAAAGCTTTGGATTCCCAAAGCTGCCTCATTAGACTTGGGGAATGAGATGCATTGAGGATCTGTAGACCCTTGGGCAGTGACCATTTCTGAACCATCGGAAACCTGTCATTCAGGAATTTGTCCCAATTTTTCCCTGTGTCTCGCGCTACCTGCTGCTTCAGAAGCATTGCCAGGTGGTCAGCAATCACTAAGGAGGTCAAGCAGGAGGCACGGGGGTAGGACCAGGCTTGCTCATGGGAGCCTCTGCCTTGGCTACCTCCCCACGACCCCCTCCTCCTGCCGATGCCCCTTTGGAAAATCTGCATTTTCACCACCCTCCCAGTAACCCAGCTTGGAGACATCCTTGCAAATACCATGGAATTATTGTCATCACAACCACCTATCTGCACTCACATTTTCTAGCTGTTTTACCTGGACCTCTGGGAATTCCGTCTTGGATTACTTTCAGGATAGCCTTCATTGCTAATACTCAATTATGAAAAAATATATAACGAGACTTTTTAATTAGTTACTTAAATTAATTTAAGTAATTAGTTTATTATTTATAAATAAACTATATATTTATAGTTTATTATTTAATTAGTTTAATTAAATTACAAAAAAATTAGAGAATTACATAAAGCTGCATGTAAGTGTGGATGTTAATTCCAGTCTTATATTTTTGTAAGGCTCTTAATATCATTTTAATAGGGGTCTTGAACAGAAATGTAGGTTGCACCCTCTGACTAGGGGCTGGTAGGACCAGCTGGCAGGAGGCCTCCTGCATGTAGAAGAGAGAACATGAATGGAATGGGAAGTATTGTTGCAGCCTGGGTCTGTTGAGGTGGACGGCAGGGCTGTGGACCAAGATGGTCCCAAATATCAATGGTTGGGCACTAAGTG